TTTTACTGTTTGTTATTAATCGGTGTGAAATCTGCTTATGATTACAAATGAATAATAATAAAAAAGTTCACCAACTCATCTCCTTTTTCACATAATGTACAGTGTACATGTCAGTTGTATGGTCATCATATCATAGTGCTAATATACTTTGATGTATAAACAATCTTCAACTGAACACAGGTCCTCTCAAAGCCTCTGAAATGCCCTCATGGACTAACCTCTGTGTGTATGCATTTGTATTTCTCTGTTTTGTTTGTGTCTGCGCTCACACATGTCTCTTCATGTGTAATGCCAGGTGGTCGGACCGGCTGAAGGCTCTGTGGCAGAGCATACACTCATATGGCTTCTGTCCCGTGTGTTTTCGAAAGTGTCTTGTCAGCTCGTCCGAACGGGCGAACTTCCACCCGCAACCATCCCATGAGCAGTGGTACGGTTTTTCACCTGAGGACATTAAAAACAGCAGAAGGTAAAGAAATGGTCTGCATTTCTACATAGTCTCAGCCTCTACATATTCTGTATATTTCGCTTTGTTTTGTTTGTCTGTGAAATCCTGATGACAATGTCTATACACATTTTTCACTTTTTCAGTGTTTCATGTACATAATGGTCTGTAGTGGTATAATCTACTTCAGAAAACTCAACTGAAAGGCTGTAATTGGATGCTTTACAGCTCAGTCATATGGCCCTTTCCTTCTAAAGGCGCAGTCAAATAAGCTTTGAGCATATGAAATAAATTCGGACATCACAATGAATATCAGCAACAGGATATGATGTTATGATGATATATATATATGCAGGCTATATATAAATAGCTGCATGTGAAGCCGTAGTCAAAAGTCAAAAGTGGAAATTTTTTACTGAAATGAATTTACTGTAGGATTTGTTGTTGCAGATTTATAGTTAAAAACATCCCATTCTATAATGTTAAGACCTTAAACATGGACATAATGATGCATGTGCTTTTGTCATCGACAGTGTATGTTCAGTTTACCTGTGTGTGTACGGAGGTGTGCTTTGAGATGGGAGCTCTTAGTGTAAGTCTTATGGCAGCCTGGGTATTCACAACTGTGTACCGTGGCTTTCCTCTTCACCGCCCCTCTCCGAATGCGCTTCCCCTCCAGGCCTGCAGGGGGCACTGTGGAGTCAGGCACCATGGTCTGTGTGGACAGATAGTGGTTGGTTGGCTGCCTGTGGACGTAGTTCACTTGTTGCTGGTAGAGTCTGGGGTGCGAGTAGTTTTGGATGAAGTTATAGTGATGCTGTGGAGGGAAGACCAGTGCGTCCATGGCGATCCCAGACGCTTGGACAAATTTAGAGTTGGTGAAGGGTATCAGAGGTGCAGGCTGAGGGTAGTGTCCAAAATCCCACGACTTCATCTTCCCCATGCTGTTTCTCTCATTTTCTCTGTCCATGTCATTAGCAACAGGGAAACTACTAAACTGATGGGGGTTTTCTGGCTGTGAGAAAGGTTTCCCCGTTTGCGGCTGTTGTTCCAAATATCCTCCGGTGAATAGTTCAGGCAGTGAGGAACTTAAAGTCGCTTCATGAGGAAGCAGCTCAGCCAGTGAACTTGTGACAGACACTTGGTGTCTATTTGATCTTGTCTGATCCCTCGGTTCATTCAACTCCTGGACCTGGTAAAGATCAGGACTGTGAACCTGGTCCTGTGGCGGTGGCCTTTGGGGAGTGTAGTTTTGAGAGTTGGACCGTTCAGGCGATGCATTGCCCCAATCCGACAGCAGGAACTCCATATCCCAGCATCCCTCACTATCATCAGGGCCTTCATCTGTCAGAAACTGTGAAGGTTTGTAGTTGCCGTTGCTTTGGTGTGGATCCTTGCAGTCCAGATCCAAACAGCCCTTTTCAAACTTCCAAGCCTTTAGAGCCATCAAATAATTTAAAATTGATATTTACATTTATTGATAATTAACCATTTTTGAACTGTGCAATCAAGTATGTAAAAAAATTACAGTACAAAAATATCTCTAGATGATGTATTGGAGATTATACTTTGTATTATACACTCATGCTTAGTATAAAACTATTCATCTGTCATCATGGTAAGTGATTTCTTAAGATCAAAGTCACTGTATTAAAACAATTATTAATGATTACCTTAATAAAAGCAATATTTTATCCATGTTTGTTCAAGATAAAATGTAAGATAAAATAACTGAAACAAACATACCTTCATGTTTTCCGAGGCGTTGCAGAAGTTTGAAAACGAAGGCAATACGGCTTGAGTCACAGCCATCCGTTTGGTGCCCTTTCAGCATTTATTAGATACAGAAATAATTTTCTAATGTCGCCAAAAGAGGCAAATATATTTGCGTCGTCTATTATATTTGTCCAAAAATACTTTGACATGTGCAATAGACAAAGGGCAGGAACCCAGAACTTAGTGTTAAAATCAAAAGATATTTACAAAAATAAAGTTCACAGTGGCATTAATGCTGGTGACGCTTTCCCCCTCTTTCTGTCCCCCTCTCTTTTTCTCTCTATCAGTGATAAACTTACGTTTAAGACCCCTGACAGTTGTGATTGTGGGTGGAGTTGAAATTTGAGCCTAGAATTTTGAAAGGGCATTGCAATTCAGTAAGTTAAACTAGACCAAATTAACAGAATGAAGCAATGTGGCTAAATAAACATTATTTATCTTATCACCTGTTTAATTCTGCTATCCACAAATATTCCTGCCATGGCTTTCTCAGGGCCTTTAAAGCTTAAATAAAATATTAATAATATATGCAGTTGAATACAGTAGTTTAATAAAAAAAAAATATTTAAAATAAAATAAAGGAATTAAATAATCTTGAAATTAAATAAAAATAAGAGTAGTTTAAAGTAATGATAATAAGTAGTATTGGAAAAAAATGAATGTTATTGAAACATAATTAAAGCTTAAAGGTAGTATATGCTGACATCGAAAGCTAAGATGAGTGGAACATTGTTTGCAGACAGAATCAAGGGAGCTTAAGTGAAATATACATTTACACTCAGAACTCATATTTCAGGAGAGATGAAGCACATGAAATGAATGGCACACATAAACTGAGTTCAGTGTCTGTGCGAGTGTGCGATTCTCAGAAGGCCGGTGTTCAGTAGGTGATTATGTTCTGGAGAGCAGTTATCAGTGTGCTTAGGCTGATGAGAAGCCTCCTGTCCCGTGTCAGATAATAGAGCTCTGAGCCCCTCTATCCACAGATAACAGCACATAGCCTACACACATTTACAACTTCAAACCTCACTGCTGAGCTGCCTTTGTTAAAAGCAACTGCATTGACTCATTTGAATGGAACACATCATTTTCCTGCAGTTTTTGAGTTTGTGAGAACAAAATACACAATCGAGCAGGGGAAGGCCCTTGCACAATTCGCACGTTAAAAAATAAATGACTGGCTACGACCTCACGTTATGTCAATCACGCTTACACACTGCCTGCGAAACTTTCGTCCGTCATTAAAAAAAATTCGGATGGGGTTCGATTTTCCTGCGTTCTTCGCATCCTTAGCAAGCATTTTGAATGTTGTTTTGACAATTCAGAGCCACCGAATGACGAATATGAAAAAAAATTCGGACTCAGTGGGCAAGGAGGTCACTCAAATGAGTGGCTAATAAACACAAGCAGATCAGTAATGTCAGTAAGGTCTTGAAATCCAACTCTTTTGGTCTGTTTATTCCTGCATTTTGAGTCTGCAAGGTAAACTAGAGCACAGCCTGTGTGAAAGAAGCAGACAGAATATAACAAAAATGTCCTTAATTTTAGGCTATAGCTTGGTTGCAGGCTTGTGTTTAGCCTAATGATTAGGCTAAACACAAGCTTTAGGCTTTTTGGAGTAATGGATTAGGCTAATCCATTACCCCCAACAGACATCTTCACAGGTGGCATCTCATAAAGTTGGTTGAGAGAATTCATAGAGTTTGCACAGCTGTGACAGTGCAAGAGTGGCTACTTTGGAGAAGCTAAAATATAAGAGAGTTTTGGTTTTAGTAACATATTTTAGTCAATTCGAAAATGCCCATACTTCCATTTCTGTTATTTCATGTTTTTTCATGACTTTACTGTTATTCTGAAATGAGGAATACAAAAGTAATAAAGAATACGTAGATGTGTACAAACCTTTCTCTGGAACTTTGTGTCCAGCTGGGTAATATTTTAGAAATTTTTCAGCAGCATTCTCATAATTTCCCCAAAGGTAGTTTCATTATATTGCATATAATATATTTTTTACATTTAGTAGTTTCATGATCACCATATGCCCTGGTTTCTGCTTTTTGTTTGTGCATTTAACCACAAGGTTACACTTTATTTCGGTTGTCCACTTTAGACATTCTACTAACTATAATTAACTTTTCAACTACATGTCAACTAACTATCATTAGAGGATTAGGAGAGTGTAGTAGACTGTTACAGGAGGTTAGGGTTAGGTGTTAGGGTTCAGGTTAGGATAATAAGTTGACTTGTGGTTACTTATAGTCAGTAGAATGTCTGTTGGGGGAGTATCAAAATAAAGTGTTAGCTAAAATTAAGCAGACAGTCTATTAATACTCTAATGACAGTTAGTTGACATGTTGCTGCAAAGTTAATTATAGTTAGTAGAATGTCTAAAGTGGACTATCGAAATAAAGTGTTACTAACCACAAGACTAAATGACTGATTATTTTTAGATTATCATGTGGGTGTTCAGTTCCTTACTATTCTGGCAAACAAATTAACATTTTAGAAATAGCCTATAAATGTAATCTATAAGGTTATTATGAAAGTTACAAACAAAAACTAACTGCTTGTTGTTTGTGAAAGCTTCGTATGAAATGCTAGATGTGATAAAAATAGCCTACATTATTTTATGGTGGGTTACATAGGCTCAAATTACTTAGGCTTGGGAGTCAAAGGTCATTTATGAGATGTTCAGGTAGGCTATCAATCCAATAATTTGAAAGTGCTCAATGATTAAGAATGACAAAGCAGGACAAGACACATGGCAATAGCGACACTGTCCATGTGATACTAACAAAACAATCAAATGACCTCAGTTCCTCCCAGCTGCTGTAAACATGATGTTAGATTTAAAATACAGTTTCTGCATTTACTATTCTAACCACATGTTCAGGGCTGAGAAGAACTAATAAAACCATATTGGTCGACTCAACTGGATATTGGGAACAATACGTCCTCCTCAATGTCTGTGGCTTACAGTCCTGCTTACTTCAGAGCTACACACTTAAATGGACAAATTTAAGGTTGTTTAGAAGGAGACGACACATACAGATGAGACAATTCTGCACATGAATTTCCTGTCTTTGTCATGCAGTATTAGCTCACAAGGGCCATTCATGGGAGTGTCTTTCTGCCTTTCTTCTTTTTATGTGATGGAAGGATGTGGTTTTCTTAAACATATGAAACATGTTCGTTGGTGTTTTTAATGCGTGCTGAGGAAGTGTGTGCAAGTGAATGGGAAGGGAGGTTCAGCTGGTGGTGATTTTATGCATCTCTCTTACCACTTTAAGTCATAAAGACAAATACACAGATCTCTAGAATTTTTGAAGCTCTAAGAGGTGTGAAGAACCTGGAATATTTGGAGTCACTAGAAGAATGTCATTTTGTGGGTATTTCCTCACAGCTTTGATCATCCTCAAGCAGCATTTTACTGGTAAGTGTGTTCACATTTCATATTTCAATATAGGCCTAATCACTGTAATCTCAATCACATAGCAAATCACAAAGTATAAAAAAAATGAGTTTCAACGTATGTAAATTTCAATATTGAGTTGGCTTTTCATGTTTTACTGTTGTTATACTTAACTTGAAAAGATCCACTTTAGACCAGCATGAATTTCCATGGCGGCCCAGGTCTTCTAATCCAGTTGGTTCACTACTTGACCACACATGAAATAAGTATTTGAATTGTAATATGTAACTAATATATTGTCTTTCCTTGATCTTTCAGCTGCTGAACGCTCTGTCCCACCGGCTCCTACCCTGATCCAGAACGCCGTCATAGACTCATCTGTGGAGTTGATTTGTCAGGCTCCACGGGGTTATAGTGGACTTAAATTTAAACTTTTTAAAATTCGCAATCTGACACAAACCATACAGCATTCAACCAAAGAACAAAGGGCTCGCTTTATGCTTATGGGAAAAGATACAGGGAAAGAGAATCTGTATTGCTGTCAGTATGAAAACAGCATGTTCAGTTCCTACATGCACCCAGAGCCAAAAGGTGAGTATTATATTATATTATATTATATTACACTTTATTTCGTATCACTTTATTTTATAAGTCACTTTGCAACTACATGTCAACTAACTCATTAGAGTATTAGTAGGCTGTTAGGGTTAAATAAGTTGACATGTTGTTGCAAAGTTACTTGTATTTAGTACTAGAATGTCTAAAGTAGACTATCGAAATAGTGTTACCTATTATATTAGATGTTTTTTTTTGTGAGTGTGTGTTAATGATCCTGCATAAATCTCTGTTGTCACATCAGCTGAGGCACAGGTTTAGTATTGGTAGTTCACTGCTGTGTTGTAGAAGGAAAGGTTTTGAGGTCACAGAGGTGTGACGGTTAAAGAAACTGCTGTCTAGTGGAGTTGAAACCCTCTGTTAGTAACCACCAAACCAAGCTACTCCACCCAGCAGAGCTTTACATCTTTAGCGTTGTATTTCTGTCTCTTATCTTTAGTTTTGCACACATATATTCTAAAACGCTACGTGCTCTTAACTTTCTTTGTTCTTCTAGACTTCAGTCCCCCTCCGTCCCCTCACTTGATGGTCGAGCCCTCTAGTGGGCATGTGACGCCTGGCGAGACACTGTCATTCCACTGTCAGGCTCCACCTGACCATCAGAAACATCCCCCAGAGACTTTCCTCCTGCTCCAGAGAGCCAAAGGAACCCCAGGCTCCATGGTCGCCCCAGCCAAGCTGGTGTCTCAGTCCCTGGAAGCTCACTTCAGTGTGAAGACAATGGGACGGGAGGACAGTGGGGAGTACGTCTGCCTCTACCAACTCAAATTACCAAAGACGGGGCATGTGAACTCCACAGCCAGTCAGCCGGTACACATTACTGTCATAGGTGAGGAGAAAACTGTCGGATTGGTGCTTTTCTGATTACATCTCATCCAAATTGTCTTGTTTTTAAAAATTTGATAGAACAAATAAGGCAAGTGTTAATATTGATCTACGTTTTGCATTTTACAAACCCTAGTGAGCTGCCTATTGAGCCAGAATGTCAAGGCATTATTGGTGTATAACTTAATTATATCCTTTAGGGCAGAAAGCAATCTCAAAATGCACTACAGCAAGCTCAGTCATGGCCAATATTTCACTACCCTATTGACAATAGACAATGGATGTTTTTGGGCAATGAAATTTCTCTAATGTTTTACTTTATGAAGTTCTATGATTGGTAAGATGCAGAAGGCATCTGCCTATGTAGGCAGTAAGCAGAAAGTCATCTCACTAGCTTTTGAAACAGAGCTTACTAACTGTGTTAAACGTTGGCATGTAACTTGTCTTATATATCTGTGTCTGTGCGTGTTTCCTCTCACAGAGCTCCCAGTGCCCACTCTGTCTTTATCCCGACATGAGGGTGAATTTCTGGAGTGTGTGGGGTCACCGGCATATCTAAAAGGCTTCTTCTCCTTATTTCGTGTGGGTGTCCTGTCACCTGAGGCGACCCATCAGGCTTCCCTGACCCAACACAGTGCTAGATTTCCCGTACCCACTCGTTATGAACATGGTGCTCAGTATCAGTGTCAGTACAGCGTGTCTCTGGGAAAATTCTGGGCGTACTCTAAGATGAGCACTCCAGTAACTCTCCCATGCATTACAGGTGTGTACTACTGAATATAATACATAATGTCATATAAATAAGGGTAACACTTTATTTTAAGGTGCTTGTAATAAGCAGTAATTAACAGTTAATAAGACACTTATAAGACCTTATAAGATGCATATAAGCATTAACTGCTTCATATAAGGGTTAATTAAAGGTCCAGGCCCTGAAGAGATCAGGGAAACTACTCCCTCTTGGGAAGGTCAATTTTTAAGTGACTGGGAGTTTGTGTTACCATTTATGTTTGTTTGGCTGTTCTAAAAGTGCAATGTATTGATACTTGAGAAATGTATTATTTAATTTAATTTATTTATTATATTAGTTGATGCTTATATGCATCATATATGCATCTTATAAGGTCTTATAAGTGTCTTATTAATTGTTAATTACTGCTTATTACAAGCACCTTAAAATAAAGTGTTACCTAAATGGGACCCTAAAATCTGGTTTATTGCATACTTTTTCAGGATATCACACATGCACACAGGTCTCTACAGGTAAGATTTAAGTCGTACTATGGATTTGTACGCCACCATATTAATGCAGCAAATCTAATATGCCCAACTGGGTATCTCTAATCATTCTCTCCTTTTGTTTTCATACACGTCTATGGAAAGGCAGCACAGACCTGGCTCTTATTGCTGGCTCTGTGTCTGCGGGTGTTCTGTTCCTCATGGTGGTGTCACTCCTGGGCTTTGCCGTGCACAGACATAGTGAGTCTTATTTTAGTTGCTCATAAGTTTGCTTTGGTTAAGTCTGGTCTCTCATGAACTATAATATTCAGTGGTGGTTATCTTCTCAATCCGTTTAATTAAACACTGGAACAAAATAAAGTGAAAACACCTCTGGTTTTCATTCATGCATGTAATCCTCATTAATATATATTGCATTGTAATCATTATCCATTTATTTGCAGTCAAAAACAAGTCAGAAAGAAGGAGACAAAGGTGAGACAATACTGAAGAGCGAACCCGATATTTGATTACAATTACATTTACATTTACATTTATTCATTTGGCTGGCATTGTTATCTCAAGCGACTTCATTCAAAGTATACAAGTATACATGTTCCCTGAGTCTAGCATTGTGCTCAACCAGTTGAGTTACAGGAATAAAAGTTATTTCAATAATTTAAATGTACACTACCATTCAAATTATTCAAACTTTCTTTTTTCAAGAATTTATTTTTCAAGGATGCATTAAATTGATCAAAAGTGACAGTAAAAACATTTGTATAATGTTACAGATTTCTATTTAATATTTTTTTTTTAAGTTAAATGCTGTTCTTTAGAACTTTATATTCATCAAAGAATCATGAAAAAATGGATCACGGTTTCCACCAAAATATCAAGCATTGACCGTTTTTTTTAAACATTGATACAAAAAAATTATTGACCACCAAATCAGCATATCAGAATGATTTCTGAAGGATCATGCGACACTGAAGACTGGAGTAATGATGCTGAAAATTCAGCTATTTTAAATTACATTGAGATAGAAAATGTCTATTTTAAATTAAAATAACAATTCACAAAATTACGGTTTATTTTACTATAAAATAAATGCAACCTTGGTGAGCATGAGACTAATAAAAAAAAAAACATTAAAAAAAACTTACACACCCAACACCAAACTTTTTAATAGTGTTTATTTCTATAATTATTTAAATAAATATTTATATAAATATTTAAAACACTAATGTAGATAATTATATTATTATTTATATATAATTCAATTATTTGATTTATTTTGATAGCACACTTCTAATATGAATGTTATAAAAACATTAACAAATAAAATCAAACTTTCCACAGAGAACAAGAAAAATTCTGGCAACATATTCACTCCAGAGATCATATTGTTGGTAAGTCATCTCTTCAAAGCAAGTATCATCCATTCGCTAATCCGCATATATATGCGCATATATCTCCCAGTATTACATCAGAAGCACCATTCATATCTGAATTTGCCTTCAAGTTGATTGATTTTCTCTCACCATGGACTTATTTTCTCATCAGACCTCACTCTGCAGCGTGTTGACATTGGATCTGAGGTAATGATGCACCATTTCAAACCTTCTCTTGTGATTCGCTTTTCAAAAGGCCCACTACAGTAGTATCTCATATCTCGCTCCAGTACTAAGGTTACCAGTATGCTGATTTGTTTACCGAGAGAGAAAGAAGAATAAGATCACAGAATAAGATCTCTTTACATCACGCAGTGTTTGCCAACATCCTGTTGCATTAGGTCCGCTGTTTGACTAATCACATCTCTAACACGCATGTTTTTAATATGCACACGTTTCGAAACTACAGGGCTGTGGAGAGATGCTAAGAGGAAGACCCTCGGATTCAGAGGCCATCTATGACTGTCCCATGACAACCTTTAAGAACACTTCATTTTACTGACTTTCTATCTATCCATCTATCTATCTGTCTGTCTATATATCGAATCTGACTGTCTGTCTGATGTTACATTTTGTTTGTCATATTCTGTATACTGTGATGTTTATTTAAAGCTGAAACATTTTGTATTTTGAAATAATGTATGAGTAAACAATTGTCTACTGTAGTGTGTAGCATTTTTCACTGAGATTTATGAATTATTCTGTCAGTAGGGGGCTCTGAACATCCAGATATAATGTGAGATTGATGTTTCAGTGAGTGGAGCATTGTTAGTTTTTGAGTGTCGGTCAACAAATCCTTGGAAATCATTTTATAGATTTAATCACCCAAAGCTGAAAAGTGAAAGCTTTCATTTCTGTTTCTTTTCACAGCAGATGCTTACTAAAGATCTATTACTAATGTTGTGTAGTTCAAGTAGTGCTCAAGAGCTTTTCATTTCCTCTTTGCTTAAAATGAAACCTGAAAAGGGAACCATTTATTTGACAGTCATTCCAGAACTAATTTCCTGTAATGAAATGAAACATCTATTATATATGATACTAGTTTAAAACTCCCATGTACGTCTTCACAGTCTGTCCGTACCAAAACTCTTTTGATTATCAAACCATAAACCATTTACAGCTTTTTTTACAGTCAGAGCTGATCTAGCTGTCATATGGTTGACTGAAGTTTCTCTGCTTTGTTCTCTCCTTAACCCTGTATTTACACAGAAACACTTAGACCTGCTTGATACTGTACAAAACAATCTCCAGTTACCAGACAAAAACTAAATTGAATACTGATTATATGTTTCGACAGAAACTAGTCTTACATAACTAATCATAGTTCTGTTTTCCGAAGAATACTTTGTCATAAATGATTGGTCTTAAAGGTCAGTTAGGCTACTAGACAATGGGCAGCTTTTCTCCAGTGGTAACGATAAGCTACTTCCATATTTGAAATGAGCATTCCCATGCAGCCTTTGCTAAATTGTGCTGAGAAAGAGTGGATCAATAATTCACAGGCAACTAGAGGGTCAGTAAAGCGTGTGTGTGTGTGTGTGTTGTCTCACTCATGACTAATCTCGCTCGGACGTTTTCTTTGTACCTTTCCTACAGTTCCATCATCTCCATGGCGACGCATTTGAATGCCCACTGTTGAGTCACGGCAGTCGTGTATTCATCCCTCACAGCACGGGCTGAGGAGGTTAGAATGGACTGTGATGTCATTAAAGGGTTTTTGCATGGAAGCTGAATGGAATGCGAGAACGTCACCCTCTTTAATTGTTATATTGAAAATCAAAGCCATAGATACGACGTAAGCTTTACATCCTGGTTCATTGTGCCTATTGTGAAGTCGGTGATCTAGTTTCGGTCTCCAAGAGCCAAACCTCCATATTAGCGATGAGTCACAATCAGCAATTTGAGTTCGGAAAATGATTTAACACATTCATAAAAAAACTTTTAAAAATCTGATCAACACTTTATTTTTTAAAATTAATTTTACATATGCATCAATAAAGCCATTTCCCATTTAGTTTAATGAGTAATGAAATATCTATGCAATAATATTTATTAAAATATATTTTTTATATAATCCAGTCTGTTAGACTGTCTTGTTACTATGAGATGAACAGCTATGTTTATTGATTATAAATTACTGTAACTGTAAAGCTGAAATTTACATTGAAAATTACAATTATTACACTGAAATCATTTGAGCCCTTGTGACAACAATCAACAATCATTCCTAGTAACATTAACACCATCAGTTATTTACATGATGCGTTTTGTAGATTGTTATTTTGGATATCCAACTCGCAGTGTCTTTTTGAGGCAAGTAATTCTCTCCATCCACCCAAAATGGCACGTGGTACTGCTTTAAATTTTATGGGGAAACTGATCATTTGTTCATATGCTTTATTTTTAATGCAGGGGCATTGGTTGTCCTGGCTGTTCATATTCTTTAGGCTAGGATTCTGTAGTTGGCGTTCAGTCTCAGTTGTTGTCTTCCACATGGCCGTTCACCGTCCCTGACTCCCAGCGTTCAAGTAACGGGTTTCGCTGCCTTGGGATCTTTTGAGTTTTCTGTGTTTATCAGAACATTAACAACAACGTTAGTGAGTGCATTTGAATTTGAACACCTCTAGGCCACATGCAGAACCTGATTTCACCAAGTACAACATGTTCCTGGAATAACATCTTTGTTTAACAACAAGATTTGAGGGACAAGTTTACAGTTTATGTCAAGTTTAGGCTTACAACAAGGGTACATCAGTGTTATTCACTATCATTTCCCTCTGATTTTAGGGATAACTAAGGACAGGAAGGTTGTTCTAGGGGCAACAAAATATGTTGACCCAGGTACGCATCTAACTTGGCAAAATCAGGACGTGCAGCACGTATAGCATAAGAAGAATTTGGTCAAAAATGAACATTTTGTCATCATTGACTCTTGTGTTGTTTTAAACCCCTCTTGACATTTTGTCTATTCATTCATTGTGCATAATCAAGTTTAAGAAATTAGATTTGAGAAGTGAATATATTTCACTGAATAATAATTTTTATCTGCTCCCCAGACAGAGATATATCACATAATATAAAAGCACAACTTTAGATTGCTTTTTCTTTTTTGTCTTTTCTGGAGCTTGACCGCCCCCTGGTCAGCATTCACTTGTTCTATTGAAGAGAGCTTCAGAATTGTTTAGCTGTGGGTGAATTATTTCTTTTTAAATAGTTAAAAATAACAAACACAGGAGCAGCACATGCTCATTTATAAAGGTAAGCACTCTTTCTGCAAGCAAATGAGAGCTGAGATGAGCTGATAAAAAAAGCCTCAGTTTTTAGATAAAGGCAACGGCAATGTAAACTTGGCAGCACCAATTAGTTTTGAATGTGTTTCTGTTACATTATACTTTCCTGGCTGTGGAGAATGATTCAGTGACATAATAATGACAGTCAAGATCTGATCTTGATTCTTAAGAATTCAGCTTGAACTCTGCTCTCGCTGGCATCATTATCTAAAGGGCAATAAGCCACTTGTTCATTAGCATCACATTTAGTGTCTGTGGTTGTGTTTGCACAGGGAGTGTTACTGAAACTTTGATACTCTCTGATTACCTATTGAAAGGTTGAATAGTGTTGGTAGCATGTTTATTGAGCAAGTAACTCCCCAATTTGTGGTCTGAACCTCAACTTTTGGGTTACCAGCCTAAATCTTTAGCCACAACGTTACCAACACCAGTGATGTACACATTTATTCACGTAAAAGAGTGAAGAACACAAATGATGCCACTTTTAAAAGATTCAAAGAAATAAATCCTCTACCTCTGACACCTGTTGTCTTGGTTCTTCATCAGCTTGGGGTGGTGGCCATGTTAGGTCCAGTTTTCCGGTGGATTGTCGCACTAGAGAAAGCAGGAGACAAATGTTTATTTTAGTCAATGTACAATAAGCCATTACTGAACTGGATGTTCATATCCACATATGATCATTGGATGAGAAGACAATAAAGTAGCAGTGAAACGTTTGGACACACCTACTCCTTAATTTGAACTATAATTCATATTTAGAATATTAGTAACAAATTGAAGAATGGGAATTATGCAGAAAATTTCACACTATGAAGTGCAAAAGATTAAAAGATCAGTAGCAGCGGTCTTGCTTCTTAGAGGTAGCCATATCTGTAGAGATTAGTTTAATTAACATATTCCAATATTTACAATTGAGCTACAGTTCATACAAATTTACTTCTGCTGCATCACAATACAAATGACATATAGTACTTGGTTTTGCTTGTAAAAAGTTATGACATCGGCAATATTGGTCTATAACTGTTAGCTGCTCTTACACAAATGCACCACATTTACCACAGTTACTGCAAAATTACCATAGTTGCTAAAGTTTTTGATATTACTGTAGAGCTGTGGTAAATTGATATTAGACACCATCAGCAGAGAAAGAATATGAAATGACAGAAGGAGATTAGAAGGTCCCACATTTATTATGATTTTACAGTAGATAAAATGTCTGTAGTTACATTGGCATTGGCAATGGCATTTTGAAGAAAGCTTTTCTGAGTGAATAGAAGTAGGGGGAAAGATTTTTTGTTAGTTTATTTTTATAAAAATAAGGCAGACACTAAAGAGAAAGTAGAAATGGAAAAAAAACCTCGAAATTTACTGGAAAAGAGATTTTACTTCCCCTTATTTTAGTACTAAATGTGTCATTAATTGTCACCATAAATGTATGGATCATTTGCCTTTTTAAGTCTAGAAGGCTTTTCTGCAGACTTGTACAGTAGTAAAAGATAAACTCAAGGCACAATCGTAGTTTATGTATTGGACATGCAAACCTCACCTCACCTGTCCAGATCACAGTACTCTTATCCATACTTTGTTCATTTTAGCACATTTGACTGACTCAGAAATTTCAATATCCGGCTTAAGTTAGTACTAGTGACATAACCCCACATTAGCATTTTGGCTGTTTGTTTGTTGGCTGCCATGGTGAGGCACAAACTATCCCAACTTCCAGTCAAATTATGAAATGTCTATGTAACTGAAGTTTCTACACCACAGAAAAGCTTTAAAAGTCTTACTGTTAACTAATAGTTCACAAGTATCGAGTTTTAGTGGTTTTGCTGCCATTAGATTGTCCTTAGTTCAAACAGAAGAACTTGGTGTTAGCAATGCCAAGGTCATGGGTTAATTTCTCAAGCAATGCACAAACTGATAAAATGTTTATCTTGAATGCAATGTAAATCGCTCTGAATAGATTTGTCTGCCAAATGTATGGCCTGGCCTTCAAAAAGTATAGTTTTTTAAAGATTTACATATGTATATATCCTCTGTATATACATCCTCTCTATATCCTCTCCTGTACCAAAAACAGTAGAGCGTGGAGCTATCAATGCAAAGATCAGGGGTTCAATTTACAGCAAATTCATGAACTGATAAAATGTATATTTTCAATGCTACATAATTTGCTATATTGCTTTGAATGACAAATTTGTAATTTGTGAGTGTATGGCCTACAAATGAGTTTTATAGGATTTGTTACATAGGTCATGTGTCCTTGGCAAAGATTATCTGCATGTGCTCCAGTAGCTCAGTAGTAGTAGTGTTAGCAATGCAGACTTCATTCATTCTCAGGAATGCATAATCTATTCAAATGTATGTTGAATGAATGCATAAGTTTTGACTCCTTTCAACGGCTCTGTGAATTTTCACATGCTGCTTTACAATGACTCACCTGATGTAGTGGCGGTGAATATCTCTGATTGGCGGCCTGTTGGAGTCAAATTTGTCTGTGGGGGTGGAGAACTAAGAATCTCTTTGTTAGAGGATCCCTTTCCATCTTTCACTCCACTTTCTGTCCTCAAATCCATTATTGTTCCCCTTCCTTCTTCCAGATCCATGGATGCTCCTCCATAAAGACAGTTTCTCTGTCTCTGTAGTTCTCTTTCCCTTTCTTTTGCCTCCTTAATGTCCAGCTCCACCTGAGGCTGCAGAGTCATAGAGGAGCGGAGCTTGAAGAAAGGGTTCTCCTTTACTGTACTTGAGTCTTCAGCCACTTCAAAATTTGGTTTTTGTCTTGCGTTAACAGGCTCTGCAGAAGTAGCCCTCGCACCCACTGGATTCATCACTTTTACAGATCCTCCATCTGTCCATGAGGCTGTCTTATAACCCCCGTTTGGCCCTCCCACAGTTGTAGGAATAGAGTTGGCCTCTATTATGATTATCTGGCCCGTGATTCCCTCAGTTAGACCAGGTCCTCGAGCAGCAGGCGGGATGCCGTTGGTGCCTCCATACTTGGCCATGGCTGGTGGGGTGGGAGAATTTTGAGAGAATTGCATTAGGCGTTGTCTAACAGCAGAATCGACTTCCTGTATTCCAGCAGCAGACTCTACGTAAGAGGAGTTCGAGGGAGATCTTCTGCTAAAGGCTGCCACTGATTCCTTCTGCTCTTGGAATAACTCAAAGAGCAGCTTTTTTTCTTGAAGCTGTACCTCTGTTCCCCTGTCATAGAAGCCAGGTAGTCTGCCCAGTTCAACCAGAACCTTCTCCCTCTCTGTCTCTGCGCTGATTTCCTTCTGCATCTTCTTTCCAGCAAACTGCCGGTCCTTGTCGAGGCTTGGGTTGGGTCTTATCTGGAGGTCCTGAGATAGAATAGGTCTCCTCAATGGAATTTCCACAAACTCATTATTCCTGTCAGTTGTGTCACACAGTCCTCGAGAACGCCGTAGACTCTGCTCTCTCTTCATAGTCAAACGGATCTCCCTCTCAATGGGAGTTTCGTTAGGTGGAGATTCAAAGGGCTGAGGAGCCTCAGTGTTGTTAACTAGGCCCTCCGAGACATCTGTTGTGCTGTTGGGGGAGAAATCTGCTGATACACCGCTATCGCTCTGGCTGTCATCAAAATGATCCACCTGCATTCTGTTGACTTTCCCTTCTCCCATACGAAGCTTTGTGTTTGACTGGGACTCCGCTCTCTGTCCTTTGTTTTCCCGTTCTTGTCTTTGATCTTTAACCTCCCCCAGCTGCTTTCCTCCGGTCCCACCTGTTTCTGTGAAACGAACTGTTAGCTTTCGCTCTTCACCTGTTTCTCTACCCTCTCTCTCCTCCCTTTCACTGGCCCTCCTCCCGTGTGACATTATCAATGGCTCTTTTACTTCCGTAGAGATAGAGGCAGAGTTACCTTTCTCTGGATTGGCTGGCTCGCCTGCAACTGTTTCTAGGGGCGGAGCAGCACCACACACCTGTTGTAACTCATTCTCCTTTATATCACTTGGGTTGTTTACCTCAAGCTCCCCCTGCTGGACATTCTCTGCATTAACCCCAGATTCAGTTATGGATACACTTTGGATGCTTAATGAAGATCCGGCTTCAGTAAGATTACTTTTTGACGATCTTTTGGAATATGTCAGGTTTGGTGGTTCATCACAACGACTGTCCCGTCTCACCCACTGCTCTCTGGTGCTGGGGAAGTCCAAAGGTTTACAGTCTATATTTAGCTCTTCACTGTTCTCTGATAGGAACACAATTGAGTCGGAGTCACCATGTGACTCAAGCTCATGTCCCTCTTCTTCTTTGGTCACCTTTGGCATTTGTGGTGAGTCAGTGCTTCTGTCTGCCTGTATCATGCTAAGAGGTTCTTCACCCTCAGTGTCTTGCACAGATGTCTGAACATCTTCACTGGTTTCAGTGTTTTCTGTCACTTCATCCTGAATCTCCGTGGCTTGACACTCATTTCTCTCTGGTTGGATATCTTCTTCTAGTCCTGGCACTGGTGGACACTGGTCACCATCAAAGTCATCTTCAACTGTACTGCACAAGTCTTCCCTTGTTGGCTCAATGGCTCCATCAGCTGGTGAGGAGGTGGGATGATTGTGAGGTTGAGGCTGGAAACTGCTGTCGGGTATTTCTGTTCTTTCTAACCCACTTATAGCTTCTGTGTCCTTGTTCATCTCTTGCAGGACTGTGGCTGTGTCTTTCTTTTTCGTCGTATTATCTTCTGTTATTGCTGTTTCCATATCTTGAGCCTTTTCTGCTATTTCTGCTATTTCTATTTCTTCACTACTGCATTCATCCTGGGATTCAGATTTCTGAGGGCAAGTCACAGAGTCTGTTTCCATTTTGCTCTAGATCTGTATGAAATAAATGGGAAAATGTGTTTATTCAATCACAGAATGACAAGCCAGAGACAGGCTTCCTTTAGTTGATTGTGTTGGTAATCAACAAAGTTGTCTCTTTCTTCCCAGGCTTCCCTTACTGCTTTGATCAACCTGTTTTTTATTGCATAAAGGTGAGACCCCTGAAGTCCTTTCCTTTATACGGGTAACACTTATAGTTTTTATTTTTGTAGTTGTTGCTGATTTAGGAAACAATAATCAGCTTATGTTTCAATCCCAGTAACTCAGGAGAGCTCACAATAAATGGAGTTATAGTGCGAAGTGCATTACCCTTTTCACTTGTTCTTGCTTCACAAATATTTGACCTCTGTCAGTCTTAAATTAAATTAATTAGGTCATTTATTCTTTAACACCCATGCCTGAAGTCAGATTAGTGTCCTTTTCTATTAAGTTCACCTTGATATAGGTCACCTGAAACATTACTTGCAATATTTATTTTAAGTTTTCTTGTTATTTGTTTTTCTTTGTACCAGTCTGTACACTAAGCATTTCTTTTTGTAACCATTGTTTTATTTTGCTATAGTGTCATTGTCCTGCACATTGATTCATAGATATTTCCATATTAGCACATGCGATTGAGAATGATTAACAAAATTATTAAAATTGGAAGAACATTAAACAGCGTGCAAGGTCGAGGGTGGATATTTTTGACCTTCACAGTCAATGAAATTTCTCTCTATTCTTTGGAAAGTCAAAATTTAACCAGGTCTTCTGAGAATCATATTTACTTAAATGCAAAATCCGATCTCCATGCGACTCAGGTAATATTTTTTTGTTGACAACGAGTGGATCATTCACAATATAATATTTGGACTCTGTATTGTATTACTGGAAACAAACACAAGGATTTAAAGGTGTGTCATAGCATAATGCTAATTACATAAGGAGCAGATTAATACCATTTAATCAGATTATACTGTGGACACGAGTAACAAAACAACATGGAAATTCTGATTCAGGAATAATACAATAATGGTGAGGTGTTCTTAGTGTCCTCATGAATTAAACCACACATAATACTTAATAAAGGTCATGATTGAATTTCAATCTAGTGAAAATATAAATATTATATATATAAACAAAACCTGGTAGCGCACATCTATTTTTAGCTATACTGAAAACTACTGTTAACATACACAAATCTCCAGAAAACTATAGTATGAATAGCTGTCATTTAATGTGGATAAGTCTGCTTCAGTTTTTCTAGGTAAAACAAGTAATGTGGATATTAAATTAATTAATCCCAAATTGAAATTCCTGACATTGTCATGCAACACATATAAAGTATACAAATCAGTTAAAGGGCTATTTGGATTACACAACCCATTCTTACACATAAAAACATAAGATGAAAAAGGAAAACAAGCCTACCAGCTGATGAGATGAAATAAAAGATGAAAGAAGACAAAGGTCAGCTGAAAGACAAAAAACTGAAGTGAGCTTTGTGAAATCTGCCCCTCTCACCTTCTTACTCTCTTCTCCTTCCCTTTCTTTCTCTGGTTTTCTTCTCTTTTACTCTCTCTCTCTCTCTCTGTACCTCCACCCCCTGCTTAGTAATCAAGGTTAAAATCTGTGCAGTTCTTTTCTCTCCTACTTCCACAGTACACTAAAGCTGCTGAGTAAACCACAGGCCTTGCATCACTAATCCAAACAGCCCTCAAAGCTCTCACGAGTTTGAACAGTGAAAGCATTTCTATTCTCTTTCTAACTTTTAGGTTCACCCACAATACTGCAAGATCTAAATGTAGCTGTAATATGTTACAATAAGGTTCAGTTTGTTAGCATTAGGTATCATGAAGTAACAATTATAACAATAATTTATGAATTAACATTTTTACATATACAAATACATTTTAATTTCAATCTGCATAAATTAACATTAGTTAATGTATTATTCAAGGATATTGATTAAAAATGAACGATAGCATATTAAAGCATAAATGACCTTTTAATTAAACCATTGTTCGGTGTTAGTTTATGATACTGAACGCATTAACTCGTGTTGATGAATTGAAAGCTTATTGTAGTGTTATCAATGTAGCAATATAAGTTAAAGAGTTCAATATAAATATAAAAAAGGTTCAAGCTATTGAATATTTAAAGACTGTAACAGAATACACTATTCTTTTTATGTTTAATGATGAAAGGATTATTGCCATTGTTTTTTTAAAGGCATTATTTGATTCTCTTTTATACATAACTTACAAAAGAATACCGTTGTATCTTTACATTCACAGTAGCCATACCTCATATGCCTCCTCAACTATTTTTGTATGAAGAAAAAACAGCCTTAGATTAAATTTCATCATTTTATTTATTCTTCCAATGTAAACTTTCTATACAAAATCCTCGCCGCTTCTTATTCAGCTCTTTGTATATACTATACAGGCACTCAGTTAAGGCACTGAGAATTTGCATCAAACTTTCCATGCTGAAAAAATGATGTTCCTGAATCCAACAGAAAGCTTTGAATAATATTGATTACATATTATGGTATGAAACTTGAATCGCTGTCACGCACAATTTAAACAACCGTTAAAAAAGACAACAGAAATGTCAGTTGGAGAATTCACCTTAAACAGATTAACTTTACACTGTTCAGAAATAGTACTGTTCACAGGGTCACATTAAAGAGATAGTTCACTCAACAACAACAAAAAAGTTAATTCTGTCATCATTTATTCACCCTCATGTTGTTCTAAACCTGTATGCATTTCTTCTGCAAGACAAAAATATCTTTTTTTGTAATAGAAAGTTGTTTTGGAATCCATTGCCTATCACTGTACAGACAAAACAGTTGAAACACTCTTCAAAATATCTTGTGTCTTGCTAAAGAAAAACTCCAGGAGTTTTGGAACATAAAATGATTTTCAGTGCAGGATAAACTATCCGTTTAATGTCTAAAAACACTTATGTCAGCCAGGTGAAGACAACGTAACATTAAACGCAGTCAAATTGAAACTCAATTCACATCAGCAATACAAATCTCTAAAGATGTTACAGCATGTATAAAATCACAGGTAACCATTCTGTCTCTTTGTTTTGATTCATAATCAAGGCACACAAATTGTTTATAATAGATTATGCAACAACTATTGAAAGTAGAGAAGTGTTAATTGCCGCTGTGGGTTGATTCCCACGGCACTGATAAAAACAAAATATTTTTATGTGGTAGTGTTAAAACCGCCAAGGCCTCTGTGGGTCGGCAGCCAACGCTCTAGAGTCGCCAGACATAAAAACAGGACCATAATCACTAATCAGACACCAGAGGCTGGGAATGCAACCAATGGTGACGCATTAACAACAACAACATGCACACTGAAGCCTATTCCAGTCCTTTCCTCCAAGCCAATGCCCTTTACAAAGCTCCTTTTTACACTGATAGGAATTATGGGCATCCAATATGGAAAGGGCAATGCCAGTCTTTACGTTCTACGGCTCCGTTTTGAAGGTATTCTTCAGTATAAACATTTTGTCCTTTGACGCCGCAAGTGAACAGCTGAAGATCAAAATATGAACGTCTTGAGTAACAGTCAAGATGAAAAAGAAATAAAAATAAAAAGTCACAGTCAAACGTCAACAGACCGTTCACATGATTGAACAACACTGGCAGTTTTTCCGCTTTGGTGCTCCTGCGTCCTCTGCTGGATTGGTGGCGCTGGTATCCAGCTGGGCCGCTGCTTTGGAGATCAGCAGAGGTTCTTGTTCGGCACGCTGCTTCTCTGTGTTGGACTCGTCCAGCGGAACCTCCTGAAATTGGCTGAGCGAGATGCGTGAGGCGGCCACGGACTCCTCGTCTTTTGGGGTTTGCGATTCTGTTGCGTTTGTTTCGACTTTGGGTCTGATTGTTGGAGAAGGTTCTGTTGTGGAATACATTGGAATGAGGGAAGCCTCTATAGGGCTATCTACTGTCACATTCTGGGGTTGCGTTTCAGTGGAGACTGGGAGATGTTGCTCTATTTGCCCTTCGTCTACCACTACCACATCCACGTCTATTTCCTCAGCAGGAGTATCTTCAGTCACTTCGACCTGCTTCGGATCAACAGACGCTTCCGGATCATACTCTGTCTCTTCTTCAGCACACGTTGCTTCTGTCTCTTCTTCATTTTTAGCATCCGTAGTAGGTTCTTGAGCCATGCTGTCATCTTCCTCTGGGATTTCCTCTCCTTCGTCTGTAATGATGACTCTTTCTGCTCGGATAATTGCGCCACCATCATCGTCCTCATCAACTCCATGTCCGGGCTCCACCTCCTTGAAGCCAAGGAAGGTCATGGTTATTCCTCCAGCACCTGTTCCTTCAGCAGGGTGGCTGGCGAAGCCGTTAGCAGAGGCGGGTTCGTCCTGTCCTGGAGTATTGTGTGATGTTTCTCCTTCCACATTTCCGTTAATAATAGCTGAAGTTGTTATGGTGACAGTTTCTGTGTTTGCATCAGTGAGCGGTTCTGCTTCCTCCACGTCGTGGTTCTCAGCATGCACAGAATTATCTGCAACAAAAACCAACAGTATGAATATAAAATAATAGGTTTTGACATTTAAACATGTTAGCAATAGTTAAATTGTCAATGGCAATGCTTTGATTCTATAATTGATAGCATATTAAAGGCTTTTTCATATATTTGAAACTAAAGAGAGACAGAGGCCCTGTTTACACTATTAAGCGTTTTGGTCGATTGGATCACAAGTGGACGACGCTAAATACAGGTGTATAAAACATTTTGAGCTTGTCCACTTTCGACCATATCCAGAGGTAGTAGAAAAACGCATTCGACCGGATTGCTTTCGTAGTGTAAACGCTCATGTGATCGAATGAGTTTGAACAGCCACAAAAGACCGTCTAACTGGAGATGGTCCTCACTGCAGAACACGAAATCCAGGGGGAGGAGTTGGATCAAGAACCAACTCCTCCCACCTTACATATACCTAAACCTACCCATCTCCACCCCCTGATCCCTAACCCCACCCCTAATTCTACCCATCTCCGCCCCCTGATCCCTAACCCCACCCCTAATTCTACCCATCTCCGCCCCCTGATCCCTAACCCCACCCCTAATCCTACCCATCTCCACCCCCCGACCCCTAACCCCACCCCTAATCCTACTCATCTCCGCCCCCTGATCCCTAACCCCACCCCTAATCCTACTCATCTCCACCCCCTGATCCCTAACCCCACCCCTAATCCTACCCATCTCCGCCCCCGATCCCTAACCCCACCCCTAATCCTACCCATCTCCACCCCCCGACCCCTAACCCCACCCCTAATCCTACTCATCTCCGCCCCCTGATCCCTAACCCCACCCCTAATCCTACTCATCTCCACCCCCTGATCCCTAACCCCACCCCTAATCCTACTCATCTCCGCCCCCGATCCCTAACCCCACCCCTAATCCTACCCATCTCCGCCCCCTGATCCCTAACCCCACCCCTAATTCTACCCATCTCCGCCAATGTTCTCTCACCATTTCTGATTTCTAACACACTCTCAGCGTTCGGCTGGTCTTGCGGCTGTCGGAACAGAAATGAAAGCTAATGTTCTCCGTATGTTTTTCTGTCATCTCCGGGCATGTTCATATGTAAATTACTCAAGCTTATTTACCGTAGTTCATTAGATCGAAATATCTGAAGAAGCCCATACATTTACCCGAAGAAATCAGGACAGAAGTGGTTGAAAGTGGACAAAAGAGACGGATTTAAACACCAGGTGTAAAGGGGAACGTGTCTCCCTCGTCTACTTGTGATCCGATCGACCAAAACACATCTTAATACCAGGTGTAAACAGTCTTTAGGGCATTGCTAGGGTGTTTTACTGGTCTTGCCATATTATGTCTCTCCCTCAATGTAAGTCTAAGGATTATTTTCACCTATTTTATCATCTGCCAGAAAAAAAAGGCAAGTTTTATCGCTAAGCACATCTCAGCATATATGACTGGAAAGTTACCAAAGTCTTTACCAGGTGACTAAGACAGAATAGTATATAATATATAAGAACTGATATTTTATACCTCTCTTTTCCTCTTTTCCATTCTCCACGATAGGTCCATTAGGGGCCGTCTCAGCAACTGCTGTTTGATTAGAAACATTTATGATTGATATTTGTTCAATATCATGCTTTGCAACTTAAGTTCTTTTGTTAATTTTTTATTGTTTTATTTTAAATGTAAATGGTTTGATGCACTAATTAAGCCTAAAAAAGATTGGTAACACTTTTTAATAAGGTTCAATTGCATAACATAAATATTTTGATAAATATACTCATAAATATACACTACTGTTCAAAAGTTTGGGGTCTGTAAGATTTCTTTTATATATTTGAAAGAAGTGTTCACCAAGGCTGCATTTATTTGATCAAAAATACAGTAAAAACAGTTATATTGTTAAATATTATTACAATTTAAAATAACTCAACTTTAATATATTTTAAATTGTATTCCTAATGTAAAGCTGAATTTTCAGCATCATTCCTCCAGTCTTCAGTGTCACATGATCCTTCAGAAATCATTGTCACTTTTGATCAAAAAAAAAAAAAAAATCTTACTAACCCCCAATCTTTAAACTCTAGTAGACATCATATTGTATTTAGTAATAATAATAATAAAAAAATATTATAAATTGTTCATTGTTTACCTCATGGTTCCTCTACCAATGTTAGCTTGTAACTTTATAATGTTCAAAATATATGAATATTTGCCAGAATTACCATTACTGTAGATTTTATAAATGCTGTGAAAGTGTTATGCATCATTAGTTGATCCCTAAAGCATTGGCAAATTAAAGCAAATTGATCATTAGCCGTATTGTAAACTCTTACCAATTTAATTAACTAGGAATTAATTTAACAAAAGCACCACTGCTGTTTTGTCAAGGATTACACTCTTTTGTGTTATCAATAATCAGGTCTGGAAAGCAGACCTGTTAGTTAGATGCTCACTGCAACAGATACACAGATGGTCGGCAGCGCAGAGAGTGGACAGATGGCACACACTCACCTGTTCCCACTGGCTCCACCATAGTCTCGCCCTATTGGATAAACAAGAGAGAAAAGGTCAACAGGCATCCTTAGAGAGGACACATCACACTCTTTAACTCTTTAAACCATCTCATTCTGCTGGTTAATATTTGATTCAAGGCCATGGAACATTTATGGGAGGAACAGCTCGAGACTGGAGAAGTTTCCTATCGAAGTTCATTAACATGCACACCGATAACCCAACCGTCTCCCAAATACTGCAGCACTCTGGTTACAATGTGATTGGTAGAAACACCATAAAACACTTATTAAAGGTACACTCAGTATTTTTCCTCATTAAAAAGTTTTACACACAAAGAAATTAAGTTTTTAAAGAAATGCTTATAAAAGCAATTTTATTATATGTGCTCTTTCATGTTCAAATCACATGACCAGATAAACGACTCACTTTATCTCAGTAACCCCCTTGTTATGGGATACTTTTACCTATGGAATAAATGAATCATGGCTGACGGCAAATAACTAGAAGCTGACATGTTTTTAATTAACTCGAGTAATGTTAATACCATATTCAGAACATTCAAAACATTAATCAATTGTTATATGAAATATGAGAAGAACTGAAAATCACCCGAGACTAGTAACCCAGTTTCAGGGCTGTCAGATTTGGGTGCTTATATTGTATTATAACTCACCCTTCCTCTATTATTGTAAATAACAGCAGTCATCTAATTCATGTGCAGCTTTCCCCATTCACTGGCTCATAACTGCTAATACTTTCTTTCACTCGCTCTGATTAGATAATTGGGGGAGATCTTTCATCAAGATTACAAAAAAATATGGTAGTGTTGCCAGCTTCATTTATTAACAGACGGACACATCAGCTTCAGTTGCCACAAGGTGGAGTCACGCCAACACTATATTTTTCATATGCAGTATTCAATGCAGGCAGTATTTGCAATAATCAACAAAAAAAAACTAAAACAAACATTTGATACGGCATGACTTTTCTTTGACTCATCATGACTTTTCTTTCTTTTTCTCATTATTATAAGCAGTATTCCAACTTAATTTTTTAATTTAATTAAGATTTTAATTAAGAGTCTGAGATTTAAAAACTATATAAGTTCTATTAACTATCTATTAAATATGTCTAAGCAACTTTCCAACTACATGTCAACTAATTCTCATTAGAGTAGACTATTAGGTTTGGGTTAGTAGAATAAGTTGGCATGTTGTTGTGTCAGTGGAATGTCTGTTAGAGGAGTATCAAAATAAAATGTTAGTAGATATTGAACAGACAGTCTACTATTACTCTAAAGACTGCTAGTTGCAAAGTTACTTATAGTTAGTAAAATGTCTAAAGTAGACTATCGAAAATAAAGTGTTACCCAGTTCACACAATATAAAGGATTAGCATTTTGAGAAGGTCAGAGGAACATACTAAAATAAGGGAAAATATGAGTTTAATTTTGAAATGTCCTATTGTTATTTTTACACTCAAGTGACTGGGCGTCAGTAAAGTCAATCTCAACAGAACATGAACACCTCAGTTCCCGTGCGTGTATGTTGACACTTTGACTTCATTGCCTTTGAAATGAATTGGTCTTGAGGAAACAGTACTGTAAGACCAAGACTCGGCTCGAATTCAGTTCTAAAAGCTGTAATCTTACAGCAGACCGTCAGAGCAACATATTCAACAGCCTTGCAGTGTGTTTTTAAAGTCAAAATAATGTGTTTACTTACGGTTCAGCTGACCTCCGTTACAAGGCTGTTTGTTGTGATGGTAACAAGTGTAAAATAAAAAAAACAGCAATGACTTGCTGCTACTTATAAGCAGCTCATAATGATTTCAGAGAGCGGTGTATCATACAGTAAACTGTGAACATGAAGCGTATTGACTTAACTGTTTAAGCACTAAGGATTTGAAGAACCATTCTATTTTATATTAATTTATTTGATTATGTTGTTAACTTGCAAACCTTCTTATCTTACACCACCATTCAAAAGTCTGGGGCCAGTAAGAGTTTTTTAAGTGTTTTAAAAAGTGTCTCTTATGCTCACCAAGGCTGTATTTATTTGATTAAAAGAATATAGTAAATAAACACTACAGTAATATGGAAATATTATTATTACAATATAAAATATTTCTGAATATATTTTAAAATGTAATTTATTCCTATGATGTAAAGCTGAATTTTCAGCATCATTACTCCAGTCTTCAGTTTCACATGATCCTTCAGAAATCATTCTAATATGCTGATTTGCTGCTCGAGAACCATTTCTAATTAGCCTGGTTAAAACCAGACCATTCTCAGTTGTAACTGAGTTATGGTCTGGCAAAGCGTCATAGACAAATCATTTCCAGAGGGGCGTCACCAACGGACGTCGCGGATAGACCTAAACCCAATCAGAGCGATGAAGGAGATGACGTATGCAGAGCGGCGGAGAAACATCTCCAGAGTGTTGTTCTTTGCTCGGTTTTTAACAAAAAGGAAACGTTCAAATCGCTTAAAACAGACGCGATAGCTGATTCGAACGAGTGATGTTCGACGGCGGCATCCATCTTTGTAATGTAGGCTACAAAATCTGCTTCAAAATCCCAGCGCTGTCGTCATCGTGTAAAGCCCGCCCCAACGTTTCTGATTGGTGCCGCGATTTCGACCGATTGGAAATGAGCTTGAATGAGCTCTTTGCCAGACTAACTTTCAGAGCAAATCTAAATTTGCCGGAAGTTGTCTGGGTTTTCCCAGACTAATTTCTAATCATTCTTAATGTTGAACACAAAACATTGTTCTGCCTAATGTTTTTGTGGAAACAAACTTTTTTATGATCCTTTGATGAATAGTTCAACATAGTTCAAAAGTTCAGAAGAACAGCATTTATTTAAAATAGAAATTTTATATTTGTCTTTACTTTCTCTTTTGATCAATTTAATACATCCTTGCTGAACAAAAGTATTAATTTCTTAAAAAAAAAAAAAAAAACATCTTACTGACCCCAAACATTTGAACATTGTAGTGTAAATAGTTCCTGCGTGATCCTTCTGTCAGACGTGGTGTCTCACCTTATGCTGTGTCTGAGCATCTGTGCCAGGTTCAGTGGAACTGTCTTCTATGAGTTTCTTCAGTTTAATTTCTTCCTCTGCCAACCGCTCAGACATCACCTGCAATCTAATGCACATACACGCATGTCATGTTTTATATGGTGAGAACCTACTTTTGGCTCCTGCAAGGTAACTGGAGAGGTAATGTTGGAGAATAGCTTTTAGTGTAGCTAAGAACTTTTCCTAAAGGGTAGCTTGACAGTAGTCATGATTGGCTACAATTTCACTGAAGAACCTACAATTTCTTCCCCAACAGGTTCCCAAAATATACTGTGGGTTTTCCAGGATTTACTATCAGACTAAACAAGATGCGCAAGTGAACCTGCACTCACGTGGACTCGTTTACTCACTCGCGATTCTCTCTGGAAATCACAGCATGCTTTATAGCTATATAAATCTGCATTGTAACAAATACACACATTAAACGAATCACTCCTCAGACGGCTGTTTACACACCATGAAAGTGTGTTCCCTATAGACCTGTGAGCAGCTTATTACTGCCAAACTTTACTGACTAATTAAAGCCCTGCTTCAACACAGACGAACATCTCAGCGGCCAGCTTATTACAGTAATCACCATCTCCTTCAGTCAAGCAAAGAAATGCTGATGTGCAAAGGAGGAACATCAAACACTCCTCCTCACACACACACACAGGCAGAAATAGAAAGATATTTTGGGGGATGAAAACCCATCACCTGCTTGGTGCTCCAGTACTTTGGCAGGAATAATTAGTGGTGTTTGCAAAGGGAAGCATTCTTACCACTGTACGTGCGATGAGATATTTGAACAAACCCCATAGTATTAAAGTATTGAACTTCATTGTATAACTCATCGCATACATTATTCATGAGAGTTTCTATGACAGTTTTTTAAATTTTTAATAAAACAATCAAAATATGAGGAAAATATTTCATATTTTTTAAATATGGGGGAAGAACAAAACACTCAACTTGGTTAAGGTATTTATCTGACAATTTTTTTTTGGCAAAATAGGGCAAACTACAGCTGCAGGTTTAATTTGACCATGTAAAAAAAAAAAAAGCTCATAAGAAAAAACATACATTGATTATCAGTATATAATCAATATTTCGTTGGTTCTCTCTTGGTTTTGCATGTGTTCATAATTCCTTTGTATGACAGCCTGGCCAAAAATAATGTCCGCATAATTTGACAAGTTTCATCGCCTTATCACAAATAAAACAATTGACTCCAAGCACGACTGCGCAACATTCTTATAAAATCTAGTTTTTATTAATATTTGAATAGTTTTTCTAGGCTGGACATCACTTTTGGCCACTACTGTATATAATATATTATACACTGTATATATTTTTTTCATTCTAAATGCATTTATATATTGTCCACAATATATTTAAAATATACATTTTACAAGTACATTTCGTAACCTATTTTAGCAAATAAAGGTTTAAATTAAATATATTTTGAAAAAAAAAAACAATATAAATCTGAAAAATAGATTTTCTTAAGCTCTTATTAAGCTCTACAACATATTGAGCAAATCAAATCTAACAATAAAAAAATCGTACTTGTTAATGTGCGTCTCAATCTCCGTAGCCTTGTGGCCCCAGAGGGGTGATCGGGGTCCCGTACTGTCAGGAGATGTGGGAGGTCCTTCCATCAGCCATTGGTCTCTGAGGGACTTCCTCTGGGAGAGAAACAGGGGAAAGGAGGTAGAAGGAGAGGGAATTAATGCGGCCTTTACATTATTTAAATTGATTTCTTATTACCAGTTCACAATTTTCACAAAAATGGATAAATACAATCAAGATGCAAAGGTTACACTTAAAGGGATAGTTCACCCAAAAATGAAAATTCTGTCATTTACTCACCCTCAAGTTGTTCCTAACATGTATTAATTTCTTTCTTCTGCTGAACAAAAGAAGATATTTTGAAGAATGCCGTTAACCAAACAGTTGATGGACCCCGGTATTTTTTAACCTATGGAAGTCAATAAGGCCATCAACTGTTTTCATTTTTGGGTGAACTATCCCTTTAAGCATAACCTTTGCAATTTGCATCCTGATTATATTTATCAATTTTTGTGAATAATTTATAGACAATAATATCTCTAATATGCAAGTTACTAAATATTAACTTATTGTTTATTCAGCTGTTGTTGTTATGATGCTTAATTGTTGCATGGCTTGAATTATTTCAAGACACTATAAAATCTGAATCCAAACTTTGTCTTTTAATCAGTCTTTCAAATTTCATCTACAGGTCCTTCTAAAAAAATTAGCATATTGTGATAAAGTTCATTATTTTCCATAATGTAATGATAAAAATTAAACTTTCATATATTTTAGATTCATTGCACACCAACTGAAATATTTCAGGTCTTTTATTGTTTTAATACTGATGATTTTGTCATACAGCTCATGAAAACCCAAAATTCCTGTCTCAAAAAATTAGCATATCATGAAAAGGGTCTCTAAACGAGCTATTAACCTAATCATCTGAATCAACTAATTAACTCTAAACACCTGCAAAAGATTCCTGAGGCTTTTAAAAACTCCCAGCCTGTTTCATTACTCAAAACCGCAATCATGGGTAAGACTGCCGACCTGACTGCTGTCCAGAAGGCCATCATTGACACCCTCAAGCAAGAGGGTAAGACACAAAGAAATTTCTGGACAAATAGGCTGTTCCCAGAGTGCTGTATCAAGGCACCTCAGTGGGAAGTCTGTGGGAAGGAAAAAGTGTGGCAAAAAACGCTGCACAACGAGAAGAGGTGACCGGATCCTGAGGAAGATTGTGGAGAAGGACCGATTCCAGACCTTGGGGGACCTGCGGAAGCTGTGGACTGAGTCTGGAGTAGAAACATCCAGAGCCACCGTGCACAGGCGTGTGCAGGAAATGGGCTACAGATGCCGCATTCCCCAGGTCAAGCCACTTTTGAACCAGAAACAGCGGCAGAAGCGCCTGACCTGGGCTACAGAGAAGCAGCACTGGACTGTTGCTCAGTTTTGCATGTCATTCGGAAATCAAGGTGCCAGAGTCTGGAGGAAGACTGGGGAGAAGGAAATGCCAAAATGCCTGAAGTCCAGTGTCAAGTACCCACAGTCAGTGATGGTCTGGGGTGCCATGTCAGCTGCTGGTGTTGGTCCACTGTGTTTTATCAAGGGCAGGGTCAATGCAGCTAGCTATCAGGAGATTTTGGAGCACTTCATGTTTCCATCTGCTGAAAAGCTTTATGGAGATGAAGATTTCATTTTTCAGCACGACCTGGCACCTGCTCACAGTGCCAAAACCACTGGTAAATGGTTTACTGACCATGGTATTACTGTGCTCAATTGGCCTGCCAACTCTCCTGACCTGAACCCCATAGAGAATCTGTGGGATATTGTGAAGAGAAAGTTGAGAGACGCAAGACCCAACACTCTGGATGAGCTTAAGGCCGCTATCGAAGCATCCTGGGCCTCCATAACACCTCAGCAGTGCCACAGGCTGATTGCCTCCATGCCACGCCACATTGAAGCAGTCATTTCTGCAAAAGGATTCCCGACCAAGTATTGACTATTGAGTGCATAACTGAACATAATTATTTGAAGGTTGACTTTTTTTTTTTTGTATTAAAAACAGTTATTTTATTGGTCGGATAAAATATGCTAATTTTTTGAGACAGGAATTTTGGGTTTTCATGAGCTGTATGCCAAAATCATCAGTATTAAAACAATAAAAGACCTGAAATATTTCAGTTGGTGTGCAATGAATCTAAAATATATGAAAGTTCAATTTTTATCATTACATTATGGAAAACAATGAACTTAATCACAATATGCTAATTTTTTTAGAAGGACCTGTATATATGTTAGTGTATTCCTAAATGTTGACAAAATAAACTTTTAGCATTAAATTTGCATTCTCTTCAGGGAAATGTTGTCTAATAATAGCTCTAGAATGTCAATAGCTATATTTCTATCTACCCATTTTATGTGAATCTTGTGATAATGCATTAAAAATATACTGGATGGAAATGCCAAGATGTTCTAAAAATGCACATAAAAAAAACGTGTGCGCTCATTTATCCGATAAAAAGAGATGCTCATAAACTCATCTGCATAAAATCCCTCGATGTGCAGCAAAAACAGTTATGTGACTTTGCCTCAACAGATCAACTAGCGGATCAATTTCATTGCACTGCATCTCAAATGTTGGTTTGTTCGTTCTGAAATGCCTGAGCCAGTCTGTTACCAGAATGTTTGGGTATAATGACCTCCCGGAAATCTCTCACACAACTGCGTTCCCAAACATCATGCATCCAAACACAAGATAACATGACAGCGTTTGAGTTTCATCTACACGCTCTGAGGCGCAAGTAAATTACGATGTATGAAAAAAAGAGCAACAGTAGCTTCCCCGATCGCAGTAAATTCCATTTTTATTACCGATATTTTGCACCAAATTTCGTTCTCTTGAACACATGGGGCAGAAACAATTCTTTATTCGCAAATGTTTTGAGTGACATTCCAATTTTTTTACAAGTAAAATTGACAACTTTAGATGGAAACATAGCTAATGTCTCTCCTCATAGTTGTACCTGCCACTGACTAACAATAACAGGAAGCATATCACTGTTTGTTACAGTATGTGTCTTCAATTGCACTAATGCTCATACTCTGGAAGTGTCTTAATTGCTTTTGTCCATGGTACAAACTGTCAAGAGTGGAAAAAAGACAAGTTTTTGACCTGTTCCACCTCAACTTCCTGTTTCAGCAGGAGACATTTAACAAAGAAAATATCAAGTGTTCATATAACCATTTCATTGGGTCTTTAAAGCACTAAAATATGTAGAAAGTTGAAAAGTTAAAGTACAATTGGAATGAATAATTGTGCAGCAAAACATCCCTTATACAATTTAGAAAATGCCAAAAGGTTAAAGTCTCAAATAATACGTTTATTCAAGTGTGCTGTTAGTATACTTCTTTTAAACAAAAAAACATGAGAAAGTATACTTTCAGTCAACTTTTTAAGTACTTCTCAGAAATATACTTTATCCCGGGAAGTGAAAAATTGAACTGCACTTGGAATGATTAATTGTGCTGCAAAACAAATTTTATACAATTTAGAAAATGCCAAAAGGTTAAAGTCTCAAATGAAATTTCCTGCAGAGCGTAATGTACTTTTATTTCTCTGCTAATTTCACCTTCAAGAACAGAACCATCTAGAGTTACCAGTAATAAAACACATCTTTATGTAGGTCAACGGGGAATTCCACAACATGCACAGAACAGTGCAGGCACCAGATGCCACACAGGAAGTGATGTGCACCATGGAAACTGAACATGTAAGAGGACTAATATAAACTAACACCACATCAGTGTATGGAAGCACATTTCTGCTTTGCTATAGTAAATCATAATTATGACATAAAAAGACAAAAACGCAATTATGGCATAAAAATATTATAAATTGACAAAAAGTTGAAATTATGACGAGTCAAAATTGAGATAAAAAGTAAATTATGAAAGTCCTAATGACATAATGTTGAACTTTTATGAAAATTATATTGTTTTTTTACTTTTTATCTCATAATATCAACTTTTTATCTAATTCTGATTTACCCGAGGATGTTTTTTTCTTATGTAGTGGAAATAGGTTTCATTAGTGTTGGAAGGGCGTGAAATAAACTCGAGACGTGAGAAAATAAGGAGAAGTCAAGGTGAATAAACCTGTCTGTCATTTTGTCAAATTATGACAAAATATTAATGTATACATACTATGTTGATTACATTTATTGCAAAAATGCATATATAATTTGAATAATTTGATTTGAGATGATTAATGTGACAACAAAAATATGACAAAAATGTAATTCTGTTGTGATGCATTATATACACTGTTGAATATTACTAATGGAAGTGCCATAACTAGCAGTGTGTAAAGTTTGCTTTAGGAGACTTTCTTTCTACAAGGAAATAAGGGCCAGTAGTTGAAGAAACACCCATGAATGTACTCACAGACACACACAATGTAGAAAAAAATGTCTTGGAACCAACTAATAACACAAAGGAATAGGAAGAGGGAACGCCAATATGGAAATATTATTGAAACAATGGGGGGGGGGGGGGGGGGGAGAGAAAATGTACTGTACACACACACACAATTAGAGGAGGCATTTAACAACATTTAATTTCTCAAGAAGGGTGTGTTTGAATACACTGAAGGTTGAACCTGTATCTGTATCTTGTGTTGTACATGTGGCTCTGGTGACTGTGTGCATTGTTGGTGTTTGTGAATGTGCGTTTAGGCCTACGTTTGTGAAATTCCACCCCATGACGCAGCCTGCTTAACACAAACGTGACCTGACGTGTCTTGCTGCAAAACAAGGTTACGGTTTGTGTGTGTGTGTGGGGTCACACCTTTAGCTGCTGAAGTCTCATTCGCTCATCCTCCATCTCTCTCTTGGCTCGCTCCTGCTCTTCCTGTATCCGCCGTTTCTCCTGAAAGCAGAAATTATAACAGACTTGATGTACGCTTGAAACACCTTTTCAGAATGTTAACACAAGCTAACATGTTCCTTCCTTACTGACATGTACTTTGCTAGAATGTGACTTCCCGCTAGCTGGATACACTTTTGGCAGGGGATGTCACATCTACCAACAGTTTTTGAAGAAATCTGGATTTTTTGTCTGTATTTTTGGCATGTCATTAGACTGATAAACAATGGAACGGGTTTGACAGGACATTGGACAGGACATAGACCAGCATTCATAAGTTTGGGTATAAGAAGGAATATATATATATATATATATATATACACTCACCGGCCACTTTATTAGGTACCCCATGCTAGTAACGGGTTGGACCCCCTTTTGCCTTCAGAACTGCCTCAATTCTTCGTGGCATAGATTCAACAAGGTGCTGGAAGCATTCCTCAGGGAGTTTGGTCCATATTGACATGATGGCATCACACAGTTGCCGCAGATTTGTCGGCTGCACATCCATGATGCGAATCTCCCGTTCCACCCCATCCCAAAGATGCTCTATTGGGTTGAGATCTGGTGACTGTGGAGGCCATTTTAGTACAGTGAACTCATTGTCATGTTCAAGAAACCAATTTGAAATGATTAGAGCTTTGTGACATGGTGGAAGTAGCCATCAGAGGATGGGTACATGGTGGCTATAAAGGGATGGACATGGTCAGAAACAATGCTCAGGTAGGCCGTGGCATTTAAACGATGCCCAATTGGCACTAAGGGGCCTAAAGTGTGCCAGGAAAACATCCCCCACACCATTACACCACCACCACCAGCCTGCACAGTGGTAACAAGGCATGATGGATCCATGTTCTCATTCTGTTTACGCCAAATTCTGACTCTAACATCTGAATGTCTCAACAGAAATCGAGACTCATCAGACCAGGCAACATTTTTCCAGTCTTCAACTGTTCAATTTTGGTGAGCTCTTGCAAATTGTAGCCTCTTTTTCCTATTTGTAGTGGAGATGAGTGGTACCCGGTGGAGTCTTCTGCTGTTGTAGCCCATCCGCCTCAAGGTTGTGCGTGTTGTGGCTTCACAAATGCTTTGCTGCATACCTCGGTTGTAACGAGTGGTTATTTCAGTCACTGTTGCCCTTCTATCAGCTCGAACCAGTCTGGCCATTCTCCTCTGACCTCTGGCATCAACAAGGCATTTCCGCCCACAGAACTGCCGCTCACTGGATGTTTTTTCTTTTTCGGACCATTCTCTGTAAACCCTAGAGATGGTTGTGCGTGAAAATCCCAGTAGATTAGCAGTTTCTGAAATACTCAGACCAGCCCTTCTGGCACCAACAATCATGCCACGTTCAAAGTCACTCAAATCACCTTTCTTCCCCATACTGATGCTCGGTTTGAACTGCAGGAGATTGTCTTGACCATGTCTACATGCCTAAATGCACTGAGTTGCCGCCATGTGATTGGCTGCTTAGAAATTAAGTGTTAACGAGCAGTTGGACAGGTGTACCTAATAAAGTGGCCGGTGAGTGTATATATATATTTAGTAAAGACACCTTAAATTGACCAAAAGTGACAGTAAATACATTTCAGTAACACTACACTTAAAGCTTTTATGTATAATGCATTATAACAGTATTCATAATGTGTGCTATAATACATTATATCTTTTCATAAATAATTGTAACCAAAATTAAAATGCATTATAATATTTGCAGATTACATCTGAAATTGGTTGCTTGTCATGGGTTTTAATGCATTATACTTTCTACAGGTGTAACAATGAATAGTTAAGTATTGTAATGTACCATGATTGTGATTATTACAATTATTCATGAGACCATGTAATGCATTGTAAGGTGTTTTAATTAATGCTTTAAAAATACTTACAATAATGCATTTTATTACACGGCTCTGTGGAATACTTGGTTCTGATTGGTCAATCAAATCAAATATTTTGAGAGAACCACCGGCTGGATGTACATTATCCCTTAATCATAAGTAAAGGCTTTAAGTAAAGTGTAAGTAAAAAATAAATGCTGTTCTTGATGATATATCCTGCAGCACTGGTTTCAACATTGATAAATAAAATGTTTTTTGAGCAGCAAATCAGCATATTAGAATGATTTCTGAAGGATCATGTGACACTGAAGACAGGAGTAATGATGCTGAAAATTCAGCTTTACACCACAGGAATAAATTATATTCTATAATATATTAAAATACAAAAGAGTTATTTTAAATTGCAACAGTACTTCACAATATTACTGTTTTACTGTATTTTTGATCAAATAAATCAAACTTCTTTCAAAACAATAAAAAAATCTTATGACCCCAATCTTTTAAATGGTAATGGATTAACAAGTGAGTGTGTTTGCCCAAGACTATCATCTCTCCACCTGGATTGCATTTCCACAGTTGTCCTCTGTAACCATAAGCTTTCCATATTGGTGCTTCTTACATATTAAAATGTTAGATTTTAGACATAATCAACCACTGAGCCGGAGTGTCATCATGACGTGAAATGAATACTAGAACGCATTCAGAGGACATGAATATTTCGCATGTCAGAGAGCAGGTGAAGAGGTTCATGGGTACGGCGTCATCGCTGTTGTCTGGTGTACTTTTACCTGGTCTGGACCGACTCCATCACACTTAATAATTCAGGCCCGTGAACACAGCTAACACCAGGTTCCATGCCTGTGTGTGTGTATTGTGAGAGACATGCTGTATAACAGTCTATTTGTCATCATGCATGTTTCTATTAAAAGTACAATTCATAGCGGCTACCGCCGAATGTCCACAGGTACTGCAATAATACAGCACCAGACGCTAATATGATGGATGTGTCTAGATGTTTCCGCACGACACCATTTGCGGGGGTTAAGTGGTGCTGTCATTTAAATGGTAAATTAATCCACTCACGCTGTTAGCAGGTTCTGCTTGTCATATAATGATATATGAAATACAAACATGGCTTCTATGGGACGTACCGCTATAGCCTGCAGTCGCTGCTGGTATTTCTCCGCTTCATGTTCCATCCTGGACCTGGAATAAAAGAGACATTGGCTGCATTATTTATTTCCAGGTTTTTTTTTTTTTAAGTCTATTTTAAAACAGGTTTCATTTTAAATTTAAAATCCAGTTACTGTACAGATGATTAAACTTTGCTTAACTTAAAAATAGCTAAATATTTTAAACATCAATTATGCACTCTTAATTATAATGGGATATAATTGATTTGAGTAATCACTATGAAATTACTTTTTTTTTTTTATTAAGAAATTCACACTTTTGTTCAGTAATGATGCGGTTTTATAAAAATTGCTGCACAGTAAAAAAAAAAAAAAAAAATCACCTTGGATGTTTAAGTCATTTCAACTTAAATTAAATTAAACTGACTTAAAAATTCACTTATTTTGATGAGCAATGTAAAAACATGTTGTCAACTTATTGATCATGTATACATTTTTTTTACAGTGTGTAAACATTTGTTACAAATGCCTATTTGTATTCCATAAATGCTGTATTAATCAAAGAATCCATGTGTAGTAATGAAAGCAAGTTTTTGCATTCTTATAGATATTCAGGTGAAATTTCAAATTGTACTTCAATTCTCATAAACTGCCCCCACAACAACTCACTTACTGTAAAAACTTAGATTCATCTACCCATAATACTCTTTCTAATCATTTACCAACAAGCCTTAGTTTTTATCTGTGTCAGATGTCTTGCTCAGGATCTTCTGATAAAGCTGGAGTTTAGTCTGTACACTTCAGTGACTCAGTGAAGTGACTCTGATCAATCCTTATCTTGTTGCCTGGACTTTCTGCTTTTTTCTCTCTATTCTGTTTAGATCATTTGCTTTCTTCTTTTAAAACAGTAATGCAACAGACTTTGGTGTGAGTTTGGCCATTTCTAAAACCAAACTTTAATTTGAAAGTGTACAGTGACGTGACTTTTTTTTTTTTTACAATTTTTTTAAAAGAAATTAATACTTTTATATTTAGCAGAGACACATTTAATAGATTACAGTAAAGTGACAGTAAATTGTGAGTATTGTCATTTCTATACTCCATAAAGCAGGACAAACATTTTCAACTGTGCTAATTATTAAAAAAAAATGTTTCTTGAGAACCAATTTAGCAAATTAGAAGATTCATGTAACGTTTTCTTACAAGACTTGAGTAATGGCTGCAGAAAATGGCTTTTCCATCACAGCAAAAATGACATTTTAAGATATATGTAAAAATAAAACTTATTTCAAACAGTAATGATCAAGATTTAGTTCTATGGAATTTCATTGTGATTTATTTTGGTATTTAGCCTCTTTATTGATAGGATTCAGAATGCTACTGTTGGCATTCCCATTCATCTTAATGGCAGTTGGGGTAAAATGAGCCATGCTAACCAACTCAACCATGATCCTTTGCAGTGCTGGGTAGATTACTTACAAATTGTAATCAGTTACTGATTCCAAATTACATGACAAAAAATGTTGTTAGTACCGTAATCCGTTACATTACACATTTAAGTTAATATACAGTAATCTGACTACTTTTTGATTACTTTTGACCTACCTAATTTATCACATTGATTTGAATAGGATAATCCTGTACCATATTGATATAAAAATACAAAGAGAAAGAAAATATATTCCATTCTTTATCAAAAACATGGGTTTCACATTATTTTGATGGTCCCTTTAACACATTCTGTTGACTATAAGTAACATTGCACCTACATGTCTACTAACTCTCATTAGAGTGTTAGTAGAGGATTAATAGACTGGTAGGGTTAGATTAAGTTGACATGTAGTTGCAAAATTACTTATAGTCAGTAGAGTGTCTGTTGGAGGACCATCACAATAAAGTGTTTGCAGATATTAAGCAGACAGTCTACAAATACTCTAATGAGAGTTAGTTGACATATAGTTGCAAAGTTTCTTATAGTCAACAGCACGTTCAAAAGGGACCACCAAAATAAAGTGTTACCAAAACATGAAGTGCATTAAATATTATGTGAGGGTTTCCCAGAGGGGGGGAGTTTAATGAAAAGCTATTCATTAAATAATAGAAATTTAAAATTAAAATTAAAATAAATAATTTAAAAATAAAAAAAATCTAAATATAACACGTACTAAAAAATATGAAATATTTTGTTGACCATTAACCGTCATCAGAGAACAATGAACTTAATTTGATTATTTATCTATTTATTTATTATTATTATTATTAACTTGGGCATATTATTATTATTAACCCATCCAAGTTAGTGCACACACATTAGGAGCAGTGAGAAGTGAAGACACACACACACACACACACACACTCGGAGCAGTGGGTAGCCAATCGGGAAGCGATTGGTGGTTAGGTGCCTTGCTCAAAGCCACTGCAGTCGTGGGTTTGTGGGTGGAAGAGAGCGCTGTTCATTCACTCCCCCACCTACATTCCCCTGCCGGTTTTGAGAATTGAACCCCTGGTTATGAGTCTGACTCTCTAATCATTAGGCTCGACTGCCCCTACCATGACTCATAACGATCAGCATCACTGCTCAGTGTGTCAGAGCATGTGCATTAACCACAAACAGGGAACGTTCCCAGAAGGTCAAACAAATGTTGTTCCAGTAACATTCATAGAATCTTCATTTGTTATATGGTCTTTAATGTTCTCAAAACGTTAACATAAGAGTTATTAATACATCGTTCAAGGAACTTTTTTTCTGAAACATTTTTATTTGGATGTTCACCCTTAACTGGTTTCAGACCGTTCAGAGAACATTCAAAAGGATCGTTCCCATAATCCTCGCAAATTGATCAAATGTTCCTGTAATGTTCATCTAACCAAGATAAAATGTTTTTAAAACATTAAAAAATGGATGTCTTGAACTTTCAGAAATAACATTTTCATAACTTAATAATAACATTACCAAAATGTTCCTAGAAAATGCAAAGCCACGTGATTTTGGGGGCATTTTCACCAGTTCATGCAGTCAAACGCATATATGTAATAATGTTTTATATGTATTATATCCTGACTGAGCAAAAATGTTTTCAGGAAGACATTTGATCATCCTCAAATCTGTCATACAGGCCTGAAGCGCTAACAGAGAACAGAGAGCTGAGAACAGAAGCTGTTCCCTTCAGGTCACGTTCAACTATGAATACATGAACACACACAGATGGAGCCGTTTGATCCTGGTTGATGTTCGTACCTGGAACACCCTGAAGGAGAGAGACTGTTTCTTAGGGAGGGAAAAAATATGGGTGTGTAGAATAAATATATGGAAGTGCAAAGGCTAAACAGAATAAACCCACCTTTGTTTGAGTTTGTGCCAATGAATACAACCAGACCAAAAAATACAGGAAGATGAAACAAAACGCTTCTCTCTTTCTGACTATAGCTTGTTTTTGACACCGGGTTTCTATGGCAGTGAATCACAGGACTTTTAAACTATGTCAAATGAGGCCCTGACTGTGACAAAGAACCTTCCGGTGTCTCTCATGTGCTTTGCGAGAGAGGAGAGATATGCTTTTACCAAAAATGAAAGTATTTACTCGTCTTCTTCCCCAAAGGCTAATGGGTAACTTCCAAACGGCCGTGAGGGGAACAGGCTGTCTTATCAGAGTTCTGGAGACAAACTTTGCCAAGAATAGCACTGAGGAATAAACAAAAACGAGCCTTTGATGATTCATTCTCTTCGGGTCTCAACAGAAAGTTCGATGCTAATTAAAATGTGGAGCTTTGCGTATCCGTCAGGCACAAATAAAGAGAAGAGAAAAAGAGAATAAAAAACAACAGAAGAAACAATGCGCTCCTCTGCTTTCTTGTTTCGCACGCTTTATTATCAGGTGTGTCCACCCAAGCTGTTGCTATGGAAACATGACGACATCTACAAAGGTACAACGACACCAACACCCGCTGAATTACTAGGGCTGGGACGATACACCTATCTCCTGATTCGATATCACGATACTTGGGTGTCTGTCGATACAATATGTATTGTGATTTTTTTAAGAATTGCGATTCTACAAGTATAGCAATTCGATATTGCAATTTTTTTAACACTAAGAAATTGACACTAAGACACTTTGAAATTGATGTGGTGCGGTCACAGTACACTAGCAATGACACATACAAAGTTTGGTGTCAATATGCCAAAGCATTAGAGATACAGTCTCGGTACGACAACGATGATCTAAAAATGGAAACGTTTTTTCTTTGTACAGATGACAATGTTATAAAAACGATCCCCGTTCACACGGACCCGCGAAAACAACTAATAATGCTGTACTATACATGCCAGACAAGTAGTTGGTGGTCACTTTGTAAAGAAAGACTACGCACCTGCACACATTCACATTCTTTTACTACGCATCACTCGAGCCGAACAAACAAATTACATAATCTTATCATTTTTTTGTCCGGTTTTCATTCTTAGGATGTAAATATTGACAATATTGTATTATTACTTAGTCTAATCACCCTGTGATGAAATTTACCCAGAAGACAAAGACACACCTGGACACAAACAGGGAACTAATCATCAAGAAAACTACAAAGGAATACAAACTATGGCACAGGAAACAGGAAAAGAACAGGGCAGAACGCAACCTAAAATTCTAAACACAAGGTGCACAAACCCGGGAATACGCAAAAAGACTGGTATGGAAACAATTCTTAACATCTTATGGTGTGTTGCTTCAAGAAAATATCTTTCTTTTTTTTTTTTAAGATTTTTAGATTTAAAGTAAAAAAAAAACACTTTTTTTGCAGTGCATGGGTGTGCAAAAACTAGCAAGTGCTGACTTCAGTCTTTAAATTAAGTCATGCTCCAGAGCACTTGTAAATACAGCAATGCGCAGAGATGACGTGTTTTTAGGTCAAATATGTGTGGTGAGACAGTCGGACAGAGTGTATATTTACCCTGCTGGAGACCAGGCCTGACTGACATACCCTACTGGAAACCATGAGAGATGAAAGGAGCCTCAGGGGGAAGGGGATCATGGGAACTGAGATGAAACTCTCTCACCTTCAGATGCATACACA